GTTATGATGGTCTTTTAACACAGACTGCCGGGTTCATTATTTGAACAAAATATAGTTCTTTCATTGTTCAAGCGGTTTTTTGTTTTACTGAGAATGTATGGATGATGGCTGCAAGCGTGGATTACCTATACATACAGCGAACATTTAAAAATAGTTGAGGTTAAAGGGGTTGTCAATAACAGGGCCAGTTGGCGTACCAAACAAGCGGACCTACTTGGTCCATTCATGACTGTCGAATTACATTTGGAAAACCCACCAGCCTTAGTTCTCCAACAGAGAGACTGGAAAATTACCCTTTTTTTTGCCTTATGGTCTAGCATATTGGCCAAATCTCTGAAAATTACCTTAAAAATACGATGAAAATCACAAAGTAAGTACTTTTTAATTGTAAAATTTGCAGTCTAAGCAGCAAAGAAGGTGCCGTCAGTCTTCCATCAAAAATAATTATTTTCACACATAAAATACCATTTGGTGCCATTTCTAGCTGCATAAAAGGGCAAACACTCGTCGGTATTTGAGTGGTTCTTGCAAACAGCAGAGCACTGTTTCCTTCTTTAGAGAAATTAGCTATATTAAACTAACAAGCCAGTTAGATATTTGGCTGGTAAACGTATTTATTAAAATTGAGTTGATTAAATTTTGAGTATTCTGCCTCGTTGTTGGATTAAGAAATATATACTTAGGAATGAAGGTGCTTCAATGAACGAGTGAAATCTGATATTTCTTTCTGTGCAATTGAATTTTGCCTGTCCGGAATGTAGAGAAAGGTTGCTCGATTTATCCCGCCTAACTGAAGGGTGCAACTCATTGGGTTTATATAGAGAACAAGGAATGCCACCCAACATAGGATTCATGCTTGAGCATGGCAGCGTCTCCGGTTCCGATTTTTTGGAGGAAACAGGGTTGTTTTATTGTATCTAAATCTAGTCCTAGTGTGAGTTGAGAGGGAAAATATTTATTGGCATGAATGTGTCGTGTAACAGGGCTGATGGAGAAAGCCGAATTGACCGACCGTTGCTTAAGAGCTCAACTTCAGTGGGTGAACAGATAAAACCAAGATCTGACCCCAGATTTCCAACACTTGGAGTGGGTAATTCTGGACGCCTAATGGGAATTTATTTTATTTATTTATTTATTTTTTTTACAATGGATACCAGGGACTGGAGGAGTTCCCTCCTGAGCACTGCAGCTAAGCTGTACAGCTTATTGTACTTTATCCCTGGCTCCATATTTTGGGGGAGGGCTCGCTACACAAATGTGAACTTGAGCCCACGTTGTACCGGTGTTCTTCCATCGAAGAAACTCATTTTTAAAGGAGGTTGGGACCAAATTCAGGGTCGCTGAGATCCGATCCCGCCCCTTCCATTGATGAGTGCCGTGTCAATTTCTTTCAATTGCGGCCACCGGTCCCCTTAGGCGTCAGAAAAAGTTCAGAGGCGACGGTGGGGATCGAACCCACGACCGCGGGATCTACTAGCCAAGAGTCAATGGTAATTTATTGCGAATTACAAAAGCTGGAATTGCCGGTGTACTGAGAAAAGTGATAGGCTCAACTATGTACATGTGAGTTTATATGTACATACGTGTGTATATTTGAACTTATATAAATCCAAATCTTTTCTGTAGTCTGCGGAGTGATGAACCTGTAATTTGATCGTTACGGTCTTCCTGGTCTGACTACCCTCGCTGTGTAGGTCTGTATTTTTGTTTTGTCGAAACGCGTCCGACAGACCAATAAAGCGATCGTAGGCAGCCCAGGCTGATCTGTAACGACCGAATAAACGAGGTGTTGAATAAACCTGAAATGAACTGAAAAGGCTATCTCAACAACAAAAACTTCATAATATAATACAATTTTCAAGAAGATAATAATAAAACATGTTCGCATAAAACGGGCGAACTTCACCATCAATTTGATCCAATTGAATACGGATGTCTTGAGGGGTAATTCGTGAATTGCATTCACTTCACTCAATTTATCCCAAACAGCGGTTTATTAGCCTATTCACGTGCGGTTGTAAACAGGGTGGACCGTCTGGATTAGGTAAATAACTTGTATTCCTCCCTAGACCAAAAAATCTTTCTTTTTTTTGTAAATTGGCTGGAACTGTTTGGATGTCTTCAACTGAAATTTTGCAAAAAGTATTAAGTTTAATGTTTTAAACAAGATGAAACGAATTTAACCAATTGAAACGTCTAAACGGGAAACCAACATATCATCTATTACAGTGACAAGAATAAAAAAAATGTAATTTAAAACCGTTTAATATGCGTTTTTTTGTTTAAATTGAAAATCCAATCAATGAGCAAATGAAAACATGATACATATTGCTATTAGCATAATTGTTATTAAAATTTTTATTGGCATAAGACCGATGTCTCATCGTTCAAAGACGAAAAAACGTTTTTTATTTACTGATTTTAAGATGATAATTCTTTTTTTCTTTTTAATTTTGACATAAACATTTGAAAATCAAACTAAAAGATTAATACAGCATTCCACCTTTTCTTTGTTAGGCCGATTTCATTTTGGAAAAAAAAAATTTTTTTAATTTTTTTCACTACATTTGAAAAATTTAGGTAATAGAAACCAAGCATTCCAGGTAGTTGGATTTATTTAGAGATGCATCATATTTGTATAATTCTGTTTATATTTCAATTAATTAAGGTTTTTAGTTGAGATAAAAAAGTTAATGTCACGAGCGGGATTCGAACCCACGACCTTCGGTTAAATACGCCGCTACTCTACCACTTGAGCTCGTAACTTCGATCCTCTTGGAAAATGGCAAAAAGAGGGAAAATCCATCGTTAGCTTGAAGAATTTCCATAAGGGGGTGAGGTTGAGATTGGAAGTTAGTGTCCGAGCGGATCGAAGTCACTATAGCTCAAGTGGTAGAGCAGCGGCGTATCTAGCCGAAGATCGTGGGTTCGGATCCCACTCGTGACACTGACTTTTTTTATCTCAACTAAAAACCTTAATTAATTGAAAGATATCAATTGGTCAAGCTGACCACGAAAACTAGTGAATTTACTGTTTATATTTATCGTTACTTCCCTACTGGTCGGAAATTATTAACAAAACATTAAGCATTTTTTAAACTTCGCTCTGCTCCTAACTTTAAAGTTTAATTGCTGTTGGTGTAGTTATTTAATTTGAAATTATGAAGTATTAACTATATCTGATTCTCAGACTCCAAGTTCAAAATTGCATAAAATAGAAAATAGTGAGCAGTCAACTATTTTTGCCGTCCACAGACATGTTTGGTGATTGAAATGCCATAAATCTTGATTGGAATTGTTTTAACGACAGAAATGGAAAAATTATGCTACAGTTATCAACTAAGTTTTGTTATTAATACCTCAAACGTGCCCACCTCTTTCCCTTCCTGCTTTAGATTTAGGCAGTACTCTTGACATGTATTTGATCAAAAATATTCCTTTTGATATCCAAATTTACTTCAGTTTTGACTTTGATCATCTAATCACAATCCAGTCCACCACACATTGAATGAACCCTTTACTGTTACACAAAATAATTCAATAAACTATAACTAAAACCAAACTAATAAGGGACAATTTAGAAAGATAATACAGCAGAAATTGAAGACACTCACTACACTCAGTGACCCCTAAACTTCTTGATACTAACATAAAGGAATTCGCAGAAATTATTAAAACAGCATCTATGGCATCTATTCCAAAAATTATTGTAATTATTGTACATGAGAACTGTCAAAATTCTTAAATTACTTGCTTATAATGAATTATTTATTAATTTAATTTTCACAAAAACGCATTTTTTACTTTTTTTTTTTTTTATCACGACTGACATAGGTATTCAATGTTTGGTACTGTTATATAGTCGTTATCCGCATAAAATCGTATCCTCCATTTAATAATGTCAATTGGGGGGCGTCGGTGGCCGCAAGGTTTAGTCTTTGACACGGCGCTCATCACTGTAAGGTAAAGGTCCCGGGTTCGAATCCAGCGGCCCTGCATTCGAACCCGACAAACTTACAAATGGGCTTTTTTTCAAAAACACCGGCACCCTGAGGGTTTATATGACCTCTGCTGTTGCGAACCCTCGTAAANAAAAAAAAAAAAAAAAAAAAAAAAAAAAAAAAAAAAAAAAAAAAAAAAAAAAAAAAAAAAAAAAAAAAAAAAAAAAAAAAAAATGTCAATTTTGCTACCTTCATTCGTCAAGGTTAGAATTAGAAGGTACTATTAAACTAATGAAACGTGTCTTACTCTAAATCCTGGGCCTTAAATCTACCCAACAACATCAAGCATAAAAAGAATTTGATTTGATAATCAAACACTGCTTCCGAACACTTACCAATTGTAAAATCCCTAAAATAAGCGTGTATTAAGTAATAAGAAAGATATAAATAATTTAAAAAAATCATAATTAATAAGAATTAATTGCATTTATTGTATAAAACTATTATAACTCATAAAAAATTCCAAGTTAAAAAACAAAAAACCAGTAGATTGTCGTTTTCGCTGATAAATACGAACTTCATTTTCTAAATTTTTATGATTAAATAGAATGGAATAACGCGGTCTGTTTTTTTTTGTAATCAATGTTAACTGACTTAAAACTTAAAAACCCTTTATTAAATTATATGTTGTTAAATAAGATGTCATGTTATTAAAAAAGAAAATATGAAGTGCTATCTTCAGAAAACTTTGACTTGGCGGTGAACCTCGACCATATCGTATTTCATCTGAAAATTGAGTAAAATGTTCTTATTTCATGCATCATGCTCAGCTACTAACAACAAAAACCACAACAATCGTGCAATTTCTTGCCCATGTACGTGCTGACTAAATTGTTATAACGAATAAATGGTGCTTTAAAAAAGAAACTGATTAGAAACACGTAAAATTTTTAAAATTAATTTATTACATATAAATTTTACCTCATGTTAATAATTATTTTGTGACCTTTTAATAATTATAATGTGTTTGCATTAGTGGAAGAAAATGCACAAACTTACCTAGTCCATATAGGTTCCTTTCGCCCTTAAACAACGAGTTTTCAGCTGGCTCTGGCTGCAACATATTGATCCGAATGAAAAATTACTGCAAGTAATATTTGAACAGATAGGCAATAAATTTTCCGAAAGGGGTATAAATTTCCCTAGTCGCACATCTGCGCTCATGTAGATGTTTGTGTAACTTTGCCCGTATGATGTGCCCATATAATATACACTTGTAGGTTCTTCCTGCGATCCTATTGCTTATACCATCTGCACTATGCATACAGTCTGTAATTGATTTGCTTCCATTCGAATAATTTATACCCAGTAGATCATGGTGATCGTGGTTGAAACAATCTAACTTTTGACCATTTAACACATCAAACGGCAATTTACAATCTTTATCAATTTTAACCTAGACAAAGAATTATGTATTAGCAATCTTGTAATAAAATCCGATTATAAATATAGATATAATGGTTTAAATTTTTATAGGTGACAAGATATTGCATTCATAAAGATCTGTATGACTCGAAACATTCTTTTAAATTACAGTGTATTTAAAAAAACATAGTTCATCGTAACCGGTAAAGTATATCATATTACAATCCTGAATAATTTTCGTTCATCATCGGATAATTTTACTGAAGACGGGAAAAAATTTATCCCGGTGTTTTTTTTTTGTTTTGTTTCGGGATGAGAAATGGATTTGTCACAATGTGTTCATGACTGAGATAAAAATGCCCCTTTTGCTAACAACTCCACACGACCGATTTCTTTATTTACCCGTTTTGTCATCCTGACACCAGATACGCCGTACATCGATTGTTTTCTGATCTGATCCGTTATTATTTCATGTCTAGCTATTGTTAACGGCACTGGGAAGAAAACAATCCGGTTTGCCACTGCAGTTATTAGATGAACAATATCATATTTTCGTGTCCAGTTATTATATTTGTCTTAATAAGATGTTTTCCATTTATAAACAGCCTTACTGATGAAAGTACTAAAGATTGTTATAATATTATTGATAAAATAATCAATTTTGAATTTTAATTGATCATCACCTACAGGACTATACTAATTGGGACACTTAAAACTGATAGGCACCTCCAACAAGTTTATTTTTTTTAAATTCAATTCCGATATCCAAATGATAATGTATTTATAGAAGCATAGTTATTTTTAGTTAAAAACAAGTTCATTGGAAAACCCATCTAACTGTTGCAAGCATACAGTCAACCGGTAATATACTGGCTCCATATTGAAATGTCAACCATTTTCCTCATTAGGTTTCCTTGTCTTATTACCGTAATTTTGAATAAAATGAGCCTATTAAAGGATATACACGAGAATTTTGCAGTAAAAGAGTTTTTCCTTTGTTTTCTTTTTCATTTTCAAACAAGGCAAGCTCTACAGGTGTTTTCCATATGGGAAAATAAAATTGCTCTCAATTTTTTATTATCATTATTAATCTACAAATAAATGCAATAAACTAATAGGTTACATGAAAAACAAAAATGGCATGTTAAGCATGAATGTGAGCAAACGATCGATGACAAATTTGAATTGGGCATTTTCAATGCGGTGGATATTGGGTTGTTGGTCAAACCATACACTTTTAGTCTGTATGTACACATCGTCTTCCGTAAGGTGTTATGAAGCAGCTTTTGATTTTTGAAGGATATCAGAGCGTTTATCAGAAAATAATGAAAAAGCCCAGTGTCACAAATCTTGCCGTTTTAGTCGATGTAAGTCCTAGGTACCGCACCTTGTCCGCACCGAAGGTTATGTGGGTGGATTTTTCTGTCAATTTTCCGACTTTCTTTTCACATCAAGAAACGACTAACCAGAGTTACTTCGTGGTTCACTGCACAGAATACGAAAATCAGGGTGGCAGTTTGAGTATAAGAGGGAATGCTGTGTACACCTGGTGAAGTATGGGTACCGTAAGTACACCCAGAGGAATACCAGAACAAATAGTGGAATATTCGTAGAGGGAATTGCCTTCAACGACTCATAAAAAACGTCAATGAGGTATTATTAGTGAGTATTAATACGGGGCCATTTTATTAAACGAAATCGCTGATAAAAATAAGTTTTTTGTCAGGTTTTTACTTGTGACCTAAATAGTTATTTTTCTAGAAAAACACATTTAAGGATGAAGTAAGACAGATTGACTAGATCACATATTTTCGCTTTTGAAAAATAGAACAAACAAAAAAGTTAAAAAAAGATGAAGCAGTTTGATTATCAAATAATTATTTTTTATCTGCATTTAGCCAGTTAATATTTGTGTGTGGTTTCGAAATTATCATGTTATTTTCTTTTTATTCGGTGGATAATCGATAGAAAAGATTATTATTATCATTATTACTTTCCGTATTAAGGGTTAAAGCATGTTTTACTTTGTTTTTAAAGATTGCGAAAAACCGTTGAAGTTTTCACGAAGGAAAAGTTGTGTTCAACCCCAGAATTAGCCCTTTGTAAGGGCGCCCTTGTTTTAGTCACTGTTATGCTTCATCTCATGATCATTCGACCGTAAACAACCCCATATATGCGATAACATTAATAATCTGCATTGTTCAACTTTCTTAATAGAGTTCTAAATTTTATTTGTTTTAAATTTCGAGATAAATTTAAACAATCGGAACATTATTTGCGTTTATGGTTTTGTACATATAATAACGTTTATTAAATGCAAGGGTGGTAAGTAAGTTAATTATTAATACTCTATTGTAAAGCTATCTAAGATTTGTTATTAAATGTTTGACTGGCTGTATAAAGCTTTTTTCTATTAATTCATTGTTGCACCACAAAATTTAATGCCGCTAAAGCAGTTAAGGAAAGGTTAGAGTGACTATCACACTCTAGAACGATGCAGCACTGGAGTTTTTGTGATGGACGAAGGGGTCAAAAGGACTATCAACCCATACTGATGAGGTTCTAAAGATGTACAATCCTAGCTTAGAAGTGTGGCGACAAAAAGAACAGTAGCATGAGCATCTGCCCCAAAAGGATGGAAACAAAGCTCACGTGATACAAGGATTTATCAAAAGATTGTTACGTGTGTGTAAGTTTATTGTCTATACTGCCGTGGATTACGGTCTACTTTTCTCGTATATTCAAAAGTTAAATTTTTAAAATGTGAGACCCATTCATGAGGTCTGAGGGTAATGAACTAGTAACCGGTTCAACCAGCAACCAACATTTGACCTTTGGGTCTTTCCAATCTTTCTGGTCTGCCCATTCTCGCTGTTTAGGTATCATTGAATTTCGGTCGCCATTGTCAGTGCTGGGTACAGGATGAAAGCAGGGTGCGCCAGATGAACAAATCAGAAAGTTAAAATATCATTGGAAGATCGAACTTCTGACCATATAGTCCGGTCCGAGTTTCGGAATTTGATATTGCACATTATTATTTATTTCACTCCTTTTTGTTCAAGAGAAAAAATTTTCTGGGTCGAGTTTTTCATCTTGTACCTGCATGTTATCTAACAATTCGCTGACAGTATTACAACTACAATAGCTTACTATGGAGTGTGGAGTAACTTAAGACGTTGGTTAATAGACATCTACACGAAATGGGTAAAAAAAGAAAAAGGAAAAATATTAGCATCTCATGAACCTAAACCCTAACAGGATGAAAACACGGGAAATTATTTTACAAAGCTCATGAGGTTTATCAAAAGATTGACATATGAGGTGAAAATTTGGTCCTTGGCTAAATCCTTATAAACATAGGTCTATGACTTCGCTTTCTCGCCATCTTCAGTGCTGGATCAAGGCTATAAGCAGGCTGAGTTAGAAATACAAAACGGAAACTTAAAATATCCTTGGGATTAGATATGGTGAGATTTTGAATCAAGAATGTTGATTATTTATTTGAACTAAACACAGCAGTTATTTTTTATGCAATATAGTTCAGTCGCTAATGCATTTCGGGCCACGTCCCTGGTCCCTCTTCAGAGCTCGTTAGTTAACTGAACTCCAAAATAATGATATTTTGCTTCTGTCTGTTATGACTCATTTCGGTCCATGATCCACACGGTTCAACAGAAAAAATTCCATCGTTCGAGAGTTTTTGGTCAGCCATCCAAGGAGTTACATGGGAACGAGCAACTGGCTGAAAAATGACTACTGACTGAATCACAAGGAGCTATGTTTACTTATGATGGTATGCAGATAAAACCCATACATATATTAATTACTACTTAAAAATAAGGAAAGGTCGAAGATTATAACAGCATTAGTTCTCGAATAAATAAATCCACTCAAACCCCAGAAGGAGCGAGTAAAAATGTCCCCCTTCCAACCGTTTGCACCAAGAGGGTGTTTATTTAATAAATTGCTTGGACCGTGCCATTCTGTGGCCTTCTAGCTATTTGTTCCCCGAGACTTGTTAAAACTGCATAGTTAAACAGTGAAAACCGAGATGAGGTGGTCGGGGCACTAAAAGTGAAACGCTCCACCTCGAGCAAATACAGTTTATTCTACCCTCAGTTCAATTTCGTAATCTCCTCAACGCTGTAATTTCTTTTATAATATTACCTAAATATTTATATTGTAATAATTGGACGAAAACGGCGTAGACAGAAAATTATTTCTTCCTTTATTTCATGTTTTTGAATTCTTTTGTTTCAAGTGTTGTTGATTAGTTCTTATCTTCGAAAAGATCTGATGGTATTGCTGGTACGGAACGGCAGTGTGTATGGGTAATCCTTGAAGAACTGAGTCGCGAACAAGACTCCTCACGTAGCTACATAATATTAACATACTACATTACATATGCGGTTGATAGTTAAAGAGCTACTTAGACGGTGCAAAAAGAGGCCTGATGTCCTTATAATTGATAAGTATCCTATCTTAGGTCCATAAAGAGAAACAATAATAATAATAATAATGAGCTAGGGGGCGTCGGTGACCACAACGGTTTAGGTGTTGATACGGCGCTCATCGCTGTAAGGTAAGGGTTCCGGGTTCGAATCCAGCGGTCCTGCATTCGAACTCGACATACTTACAAATGGGCTTTTTTCAAAAAACACCGTCACCCCGAGGGTTGATATAACCTCT